GCCTTTCAGCTTTTCAAAGCAGCTTTTGTGTTAATGAACCGAATTTGTAATAAAGACACAAGGAAATGCAGGTGCACGTGTAAACTTTTAAGACCTAAGTGAAAACATGACCATAAAACACATCTGTTTTACAAAAAAAGTTTTACAAAACCAGCTAATAGAGAAATAGGCCATAAGGCAAAGTTAAATAAATGTCAGATATGTAATTTACTGATTAATTAGGAGATGCATTACATGAATAGTTGAACAATTGGTAGTTTTTGTGGTTTAGCTACTGAAGTTTAAACAAATAGAATATGTTTCCTAACATACATGGTTCTTTCATATGATAAATTTGTTAAGTTGGTAAAAGCAGAAGAAGCTACAATTTTGCTTTTGCTGCAGTGTAAAAATAATATCGGAAACATGGCTGCTCACAGGTCACATTAGACTTGGTAAATGTGAAGACTGGAGGCAGACACCACACTTAAATCAGAATGAAACCATCCTCTCTGTACAGCCAAGGAAGCTACCATATTAGCCTCTGTTTGATCTATGGTTGCCATGGTGCGGAAATGTGATTAACTATGACACCAGCCATTTGATGATTTGACAGTTCAGTTTAGAGCTAACATAAGCACACTGGTAACTGGAACAGTTATGATCCAAAAAAATGCAATGAATGTAACTATTTTGGGAAACAGTTAAAAGGGAGCTCCACCCAAAAGAGGAAGTTCCACTTTAAGGCTTTGTCCCCTGCTCCCCGTTAAGGATTGGCACCTTTGGGGGTGGGAGCAGGTGCCCAAATTTGACAGGTACCCGCTCCCACTTCCGGTGCAATTGTCTAAGGTGATCGAAAGCGGAAGATGTCCTCCTCTCCCCTCCCTGTAGTCCTCTGGGACTCGTGACAGGTCCCAGAAGACTCCAGGACCACTCACAAAGCACAGCGCTACTCGCACATCTGCAGTGGGCAGCAGGCTGTGAAGCCACAAGCTGTCACAGCCAGGTGCCCACACTGAAGATGCCGGCGCGAGGAAACAGCCATGGCGAGGACACCACGGGATCGAGGTACAGGTAAGTGTCTGTATTTTAAAAGTCACCAGCTACAGTTTTTGTAGCTGCTGACTTTTGTTTTTTTTTTGTTTTTTTCAACTTGAACTCCGCTTTAAATCAGTGGATTTAGTTCAAGCTCTACAAAAGTCTCAGTACGCCAAACCCTTCATTTTCACCTCTTCCTGACCACCCCCTGAACAAAAAAAAAAAATATTTATATATAACTTTCTTACAGGTGTCTTCGGGCCAGTCCAGTGATGTTTCATGTCCTTTTCACCTTATTCTTCCTTTGGTGCTAGACAGTTTCTGAAAGCTGCACAGAGCAGTGTTATAGAATGCTGAATATAGTCACTTAAGGTGGCAGTAAACTTCAATCTGAAATATGAACAAAGCACATCCCTCTATAATCTGTTTCTGTCTGTTACTTTATTCATCTAATATTAGAATGAATCACTTCTGACAGGTTTTCCTGACACCAGGAAAAAAAAAGGTGACAGGGGAGTGAGCTCCAGCGAACAGTCTGTGATTGACAGCCTCTACACTGTTCTTGTAAACTGTCTGAAGGGTGTGTTCCTTCCCTCCAATCAGATCTCAGAGCTATCTTCACTGAGCTCTGCAGTGTGTAATTTCAGCTCTCTGCCAGATTAGCGATGCAGGGCTGTGTCATATACGGCACTGATCGCAAATGCACCAATCGTTCATCCTAAAAGTGAAAGATCACACAGACCTATGGAACTATGTGATACACCAGTCTAGGTTGTGTATGTGTATGTACTAGCTACTAGCCACATATAAACAAACAGGGTCACAGGCTGTGTCATAGGCTGGTGTTACCAGGCAGTGCTGATTTTTCATTCATAATAGTAAAAGAAGAGACATCTAAGGGAGCAAGGATCAGTGCTGGCTGTAGTTCCCTCCAAAGGGAAGGCCATAATTTGGGAATCTGAATGGGGTAGAGCTACAGCCAGAAAAAAAAAGGTTTTCAATCTCCATTATGGCCAAGTTGCTATATGTACTTGGTCACCTTTAAAATTAACCACTTGCCCTCCAGAGGATTTACCTCCATTCCTGACCAGGCCATTTTTTGTGTTATGGCACTGCGTTATTTTAACTGAAATTTGGGCGGTCATGCAACGCTGCACCCAAATGAAATTTACATCCTTTTTTTCCAATGAATAGAGCTTTCTTTTGGTTGTATTTAATCGCCTGTGTGTATTTTATTTTTTTGTGCTATAAAGAAAAAAAGACCGACAATTTTGAGAAAAAAACAATATTATTGACTTTTTGCTATTAAACATGTCCAGTAAAAAAATTTAAAAAATCAAATTTCGGCATAAATTTATACTGTTCTAACAGCAAAACTTTTCTTACCAAGAAGTTTGTGTTCTGCAGCCCCTGTCAGAGTAAAAATGTCAGCCGAAATGTCAGGCTGTAACACTTACCAAATTATTGTATATATAGCATAGAATAAACTGTGAGCAGGCTTCCCTTGGAGCTTGCCCCATTCTCCTTAAAGGTACAGCGACGCACCAGTGCCTCTCTACTAATTGTTTTCACATGTGGTTTTGACTGCAATCAGCACAAACTTGATGATATGTTTTGTTTGAAATACCTAGGTTTACTTTAAGCTCTTCTGGGACACAAAACTATGTAAAGGTACTATATTCTTCTGTTCCTATGAAGTAATGTGTATATAGTAAAAAATATAATATGTATATAAATATTATTTGTCACTGTTTTTCGTGAACAAAACTCAGGTTTACTGTATGCCATTATTTTCTGGGGTTTTTTGCACCATGCTACCTATTGTACTTTGGTGTTATGTGTGGAATGTCAGGAACACTTACCTTTTCTCTAATGGTCACTTCATGGCCCCCCACTGGTCCTCTTCCCAGTGTCTTCTGGGTATCTTCAGCTGTTTTGATTGGCTGGTACAGAATGATGTCACACCCATTGGCGGACTGACAACTCATGGGGCCCCCGGGCAATAGGGGATCATGGGGCCCCTGTGTCCTTGCCCAAACTCAAAAAAGCCTAGGAAAAAGGTACCAGGGGCATCTCATGGGGCCCTCTACTGACCCCGGGCCCTCAGGCAGTGCCGCGACTTCCAAATGGTCAGTCCGCCCGTGGTCACACCCATGCATGCACAGGTGGCATTTATAATGGCACACTGGCACTGAGTTGGAAATGTAAACCGTGCAGCACATGTGCAGCTCTGTGCAGGGCCGGTGGTAGACTATTTTGTGCCCTAGGCAAAACCAGTTACTTGCGCGCCCCCCCCCCCCCAAATAAAATAAATACTTTTGTTAAAAAACAGTAGAAAATATTAAATCAGCAAAACATGAAACTGATACATTTCTTTTAATTCGCAAAATTAAGTGCCATAAGATGCCACCAGCGCCAATATAAAGGACAGAATTAGTGTCACAGACGGACTGTATCTGTGGCTGGCACTGGCAGGGTGATAGCTGCAGTGCGTGGAGGATGATGGATCCACACACTGACAGATCCCAGGCTGGAATGCTCCAGGCAAGATATGGGGGAAGATAAAGTGCTGTGGCAGCAGTCAGCCCCCCCACACACACACACAGAACACCTAAACTGACTGATCCCACACAGTGAAAGATCCGACACAAAACACCGTCATCAACACAGACACAAATCAGCAGGTACTAGAAGAGCAGGCTGTGGGATTGTGATGGATGATGTCATCACTCACTGACAAATTACAAATGTGATGGATGTCCAGCCAGCCGGGTCACACTCACACAGACACGAGCCATCAGAGTCAGACATTACCTTCCTCTGCAGGTACAGCTCCACCTGTGCTGATGAATGGGAAGAGAAGGGCTAGAAGTCCACAGTGAACAGCAGCCACCAGCCAGCTTGCAGTAAGGGACTGAGTCTGAGAGGACCAATTGAAGGAGCGGCAGCTCAGCTGCTACACTGGCCCCAGATACCCGGCATCTTCCTCTGTCCTTTTTTCCATCCCTCTGCTGCTCCTCCCCTCAGCTGAAGGATCATTCATGACATGGCAGCGTCCCACACAGAGAAAGTACTGGTCTGTGCTGCGCCCAGACGCCCCCAGATGGCAGTGCACCCTAGGCGGTTGCCTAGTTTGCTTAGTGCTCTGTGTATATTTTGTAGACGATTATGAACAGACAGTAAGTGTACTTTAATGCAGTAAAGACAGTGCATGTCACTTTCACAATAATGAGCCTGCCTGTTTGCATTTTTTAAACTTTTAGTCCAACTTTAATAAATTTTCTATAAATATATGTATATATGTAAATGTATAAATTAAAAAAATACTCTGTTTATATGGCCCCAACATACTTTTCCCTACTTCATAGGAGCATGAGAACACAAAACCTGGAACCTCTGTCCCAGAGGATTTTAACCACTAGCTTACAGGGCACTTATACCCCCTTCCTGCCCAGGCCAATTTCCAGCTTTCAGCGCTGTCACACTTTGAATGACAATTGCGTGGTCATACAACACTGTACCCATATGAAATTTTTATCATTTTTTTGAGACAGATAGAGCTTTCTTTTGGTGGTATTTAATCACCTCTGGGATTTTTATTTTTTCTTAAACAAACCAAAAACCACTGAAAATTTTGAAAAAAAAAAACATTTTATTTTAATTTTTGTTATACAATTTTGTAAATAAGGGATTTTTCTCCTTCACTGATGTGCGCTAATGAGGCTGCAGGGATGGGCACTGATAGGCTGCACTGATGGACACTGATAGGTGGCACTGATAGGCACTGATAGGTTGCACTGATAGACATTGATAGGCATCACTGATGGGCACTGAAAGGCAGCACTGATACATGACACTGATATATGGCACTGATAGGCAGCACTGACTGGCACTGTTAGGCGGCACTGACTGGCACTGTTAGGCGGCACTGACTGGCACTGATAGGTGGCACTGACTGGCACTGATAGGCGGCACTGATGCGAACTGATAGGCGACACTGACTGGCACTGATAGGTGGCACTGATTGGCAGCACTGATAGGTGGCACTGATTGGCATTGATAGGTGGCACTGACTGGCACTAATGGGTGACATTGAAAGGCAGCTCAGATGGGCACTGATATGTGGCATTGATGTGCACTGGTATGCACTGAAATGTGGCATTGATGTGGCACTGATGGGCACTGGCACGTGGCACTGATGGGCACTGACTGCTGGCACTGATGGACACTGACAGGTTGCACTTCTGGGGCTACACTGATCATCAGGGCACACTGATCATCAGTGCCCTGATGATCAGTGCACATGTTACCTCCGCAGAAAGCCAATTACTGGCTCTCCTCTCTTCTCGAGCTGTCAGCGTGACAGCTCGAGAGGAGAGAAATTGCAATAACCGGCATTTCCGTGTTTACATGTGATCAGCTGTGATTGGACACAGCTGATCACATGACTGAGCCGACATCTTCGGCTCTTTCCGTGATCCGCTGTGTCTGAGGGACACAGCGCACCGGTGATCGCTGCGCTGCGCGCTCCCTGAGACACGCATGCGCGGTGAGAATGGAAGGACATCATATGACGTCCTATCAGAATGAGAGAGCCACCTTGCGCCTGTCATTGTACTATATGGCGGGCGGAAGGTGGTTAAAGCAAACCTATGAACATAGTATAAAGTATATGTTGATTCCAGTCAAAACCATGTGTCAAAATAAATAGTAGATAAACACTCACATTAGACCAATGTGAAGCAGCCACAGGTTAGTCATACCCAGTATGTAGCAAGATTTGCACTAATTTCTTCTGAACGATATAAATTATACATTTGTTTTATAGAGTGATTCTTAAAGTATGTTAATCACTAAACCGCGCCAATTAATGCTTTTAAATATTCAATATTATATCCAATCAGCTGCCACTTTAAATACTATGTAAAACTTATTCCAAAAAATATCACTCCTAATATTAGTGATAATTAGCGGCGCATTATATATATGTGTGTCACATTAATTCCTTTTGATGGTCTCTATGTGCAAACTCATTTACACAAATAATAATTGACATAAATTATATGTGACATAAAAATATATGTGACAAAAAATAAACAAACAAATTATATATGATATAATAGTGCCCACAAAACACCATAAAATATAAGTCCAGTGTAATTAATAATTCGGAATTTATTATTAATTACAATGGACTTATATTTTACGGTGCTTTGTGGGCACTATTATATCATATATAATTTGTTTGTTTATTTTTTGTCACATATATTTTTATGTCACATATTATTTATGTCACTTTGTGTTAATGAGTTTGCACATAGAGACCATCAAAAGGAATTAATGTGACACATATATATAATGCGCCGCTAATTAGCACCAATATTAGGAGTGGTATTTTTTGGAATAAGATATAAATTATACAGTTACTAGGCCTTGGTTTGATATTGTTATCAATGTGTATAAAGTACATGAACACTACATTTTAATCATAGCTGCTTTATATTGAGCACTAGAGGGAGACACAAGCTTATCCATACAGAAAAGTAGACTTTCTGCAGCTCAGTAAACACCTGCATCAACTACTGTTGTGAAAATTTTAAATCCAGCCTCCCAGACATCAACAACATATATTTAATTTAGTTTTACAGCAGTAATATTTTTAATGTAAAGGTTTTTTTTTTTTACTTTTCATTCACTAAAATTACAATTGGAGCTTGTTAACATTAGATGTGATTTGGTGCAATTTCCCGTGTTCTTAAGTGTAATCAGAATGTAAACACTTGACAAAATCAGGTGTTTTTAATGAGTCCTGTTCACACCAATACATTGCATTGACAGCGTTGGGAAAAAGTCTTGCTTAACAAATCACTATTACTTTGGCTTACGACATAGCATTGCTCCTGGCAGTACATGTGAACACTGATTTTGTTTAGGAATGGTGATCGCTTTACCCAATTGCAGAGCTATAACTACAAATAAAGGGCCCCATTGTAAGCTTTTGATGGCATCCTGAAGAGTTCTCTCTGCAGAACCCAGAACTGTAATGGTAGCCTGCAGCCTGGATTGCACCTCTAATTATAGTCTCTAGCACCATTGCTGGCTAGTAATAGCCCCTTTCATGATAGTTGGTCATCAGTTGTACTACATACTTTATTAACAGTCCCCTTTTAATTACGATTATTGGTATATTATGCCTGCTGAGAAAAGGCAACTTCATATTGGCACTCTCTGGAAAATTCTTCCTTCCACATTAGTGATCAGCAAAAAAATTGCTTCTTCCATCAAGAATGTTTTTATACATTGGGATCAAGACAAAATGCTCTCTTTATACATTTGTGGTGGTTAGTAAAAAATGTTCCCTTTCATTGTTTGTCAGGTCAATCATTGTTCAATCAGTTTTGGTATTGTAGCAGGAGGCTGTGTGTGGTTCTAACGTGTCAGAGACAGGGGCGGACTGACAACTCATGGGGCCCCCGGGCCATAGGGGATCATGGGGCCCCTGTGTCCTTGCGCAAACTCAAAAAAGTCTATGAAAAAGGTACCAGGGGCATCTCATGGGGCCCCCTACTGATCCCAGACCCTCGGGCATTGCCCGAGTTTCCAAATGGTCAGTCCGCCCCTGGTCAGAGAAAAGAGACTGTGTACCGGGTGGTTGAGAACTTTATAAGTACAGCTGCCAGGGGTGTAGATGGGTAGGGGCTATCCATGGTGCAGAAGCAGCAACTAGATACATTCCAATTGCTTTACACCAGTGGTTCTAAACCGAGGGTCTGCAGCTTCCCTCCTGCCGAGTCATCAAATTCACCATCTGTTGCACCTCAGCCCATCCACCAGTCATATTATTTTTGGAAATCACAGACCTTCCTGCAATTATCTAGCCTGGACCTACAGGTTGTGGATATGTGTGGATAATGGCTGCGTCATTTGGATGTGGCTCTGCACTACCTACAGCTCCTGGTACCTATGCCAGCATGTGCAGATGTGCCCTAGGTCACTTGCATTTGAAATAAGCTGTTTCCAAATGTTGCAGGGCTGAACAGTGTTAGATGAAATTTGCAGAGTCAGGAGTTATAGAAGAGAGTGTCAGGGGATGCAGAGGTGAGCAGTGTTGGAAGAGGGTTGCAGGAGATGGAGGGTTGGGCAATACTTGAAGAAGGTGATAAAAGGTGTAGAAGTGAAGATGGTTGCAGGGGGTGTGGGGGAGAGCAGAGCTGAGATGAGTAGTGTTGGAAGAGGATGGCAGGGGATGCAGAAGTCAGCAGTGTTGGAGAGGATACAGAGGCAAGAAGTGTTGGAAGAGGGTTGCAGGGGATGCAGGGGTGAGCAGTGCTGGAAGAGAGTATCTGGGGATGCAGGGGTGAGCAGTGGTAGAAGAAGGTTGCAGAGGATGCAGGGATAAGCAGTGTTGGAAGAGGATGGAATGGGATGCAGAGAAGTGTAGTGTTGAAAGAGTGTGGCAGTGGATGCAGAGGTAAGCAATGTTAGAAGATGGTGTCAGAAGATGTCTAGTTGAGCTGTGCTGGAAAATGAGGGCAAGGGTAAACCTTGGTGCTGGATATACAGACTTGTGGTGTCTAGAAAGCTGGGTTTTGAACTGTTGGGAGGCACCAGTGTCCCCTCTCCTACAGCAGCAGACTGACTGCACAGATTACTGGATCATCACAAATACTGGGGCAATAAGCAGAAGCATGGGTAAGTGAAGGAAACCTACAGTGAATGAGACACACCTACCACTACATAGGCTGAACAGATGTGCTGCCTGCCTAGTGCCTGCTATGTATGCCTATTGATCTACCTTGTAGTCATGCAATGAATACATGACTGCAAGGTAGATTAACGAACATACTCAACAGGAGGGTGAAAAATATTTATATACAGTAAAAGTACAGAATACATATTTTTTCATTCCTAGGGTAATTAAACATACGTATTCTCATACTTTTATTGTATTTTATATCACCTCCTTATCTCAGAGTGTTACTAAACCCACAACAGTAAAATCAGTCTGTATATGCAGTAAAGCATGCTTGTTATACTCACTGTGGAATCTAAGGGGTTAATCCTCTGCATTGTGTAAAAAGGCTGTGATCCTGTCTTCTCTGCTCTGATCCTCCCCCTCTTCCACTGTACCCAATCCATCTGCTGATAGTACAGAGCCCTAGGAGTCACTCTGCACATGCTCAGTTTAGTGTGTATTGCTAAAAAGGGTTTTTTTTTATTGGGAGAGTACATGTGATCAGCACAGGGCCAGTCAGCACGATCCAGACAGGGGGTCAGTAGTCATTCAGCTTCATAGGACAGTCAGAGGAGAATGAAAACTCCTGCTACAAGCTTTAACCAGTGCTCAGATGGACACTGATAGAAGTCACAAGACTGCTATGCATTACTGATAAGAAAAGGTATTTAGACGTTTATATTTACTAAAATAATTGCATTTCTGTGTTCTGTGTTCTGTGTACTGCGGTAGACTAGATGTAGTGAATGCAGGGTCCTGGGTTTAGTAACACTGGATCCTTACTGTGGGGGCATCTAAGGTTTTGAAGGAAAATTACTGGGCCTGGTTGTATTAAGGTTAAGAATCATTGCTCTAATACCAAGTGCCAAAACATTCGTTCCAGCATGGTTGGTTCTAATAGGTTTGCTTTAACTTGGCATTGCAGTCTGACTGTATATGGCATACTCCTTAATGCTAAGCTTAGTATGCTGGGATGTATATGACATGATTTTGTACATTGCATTCTATACGGCGGGCTGTATATTATATACACCTGACCCCTGCACTCTTCATGCTATATTGTACAGTGGCTGCTGGTTGCTCTCCAGTTAGAGAAGTTCTTCCTGAAGGTAGGGTGCATGCAAGGCATATGTAATGGAAGAGATTCATTTTTTACAAATGATTGTACTGACGTTTGTGCATGACATCGACACTTGCTTGTGGCACAGTCAATAATACATAGTTTGTGGGTACAAGGACTGTGCCATATGTTACTGTGTACACAGTGTACAAACTCTGGTTTTAAGCTCTCCCCCTTTTAGTGCAATTTTTTTGCATCTGCCCTGTCTGCCTCATTATTTTCCCCTGGGTACCCAAGGCTAAACCCTTTGCCCCAGGAAAAAATATCTATTGCCCTGCCTCTACATTTCATGCTGGCAGGACTATGTTACACCAACCTCTTTGAATTTAATGTTATTCAAAATGGCATTTCCATCTAATATACCTACTATGATTTTCTCATTTCTAAATTCCAGCTTCTTTTTCTTCTGAGGCAACAGGAGAGTTAGTGCCACAATATCACAAATCATTGTAGGACTGTTACATTTAAAATAAGTAATTTCAAAGCATGACATAAGTATCGGCCCAGTAAAATGAGCACTAGTCTGCTTTGCTTAGGTGATATTTCATTTTTGTGGTTAAAGGGGAATCAGTGGACTTATCCGCAAAATCTACAAGCTCCCTTTCAGGCACTGACATTTCTACTCAATGTCCATCCAGGTTCAGCGTGACCTGCCTGGGATGATGTAACTCCTGTGTATGCCCATGAGAGTTAATTCATAAATATATGCAGAGCCAATAAAGTTTGCTAAAATTCTTGCAATCTATAAATGAGCCAAAAGGGCTTATTTTTTTCTCTCTTATGTGGACAGGGGTTCTATTTCGTCTTTACATTATCCAAAACTAAATAGAAACGTTTTGGCTATATGTACACTTTAAATTAATAGAATGTAACAAAAGGAACAATTTTAAACATTTAAAAGAAAAACATTTTCACTGAAAATTGATTTATTGTTTAGCAGAAAGACATTTGCTACAAAAAGAGGAATTTCAATCCATGGTGAAGAGTAAGTTACTTTCAGCTGTAAACATTTGAAAACTCTTCATTCTCTTCTGAAATGAACAAAATGCTGGCAATAGGCCTCTGATCCCTGCCTGATGGCAAACATATAACTGACTTTCTTCAAGCACATCACTAACATTGGTGGACACTATTCTGAACAATTGTGCAAGATTCCAAACTGCAAAATAATGTAGTCAATCTATTATAACTATTGCATTAGTATTATACATTTTCAGAATTTTGTACATTTTGTCAGACAGACTGAAGCCAACAAGCACTAAATCAGAAACATCCAAGAAGGCTAGTCTTACACAAGCACAAAAAACACCCTGTACCCCCAGGGTGCTCAATCATTTCTGTCTGCTTGTCAAAAGCTGCTATGCTATTTAGAGTGTTTTCTTTAGAAGTCAATCAAAGCAATGAAGTAATGTAATATGTAAAAAATGCCAACCACTTTCTTCCTAAATTGACGTTAATTTGCTCTATTGCATTTTATCTGACAACTTTTGATGTGTATAAATTTATAAGCTCCACTTTAAGTCTACACACAATCAAATATTAAATTTCAGGATATACATTTCCCAAACGTTATTATATTTGTTTTAATATCTTTATTGAATACTGTATTTCAGTTGTGCGCTGTGTATTTATTACAAAGCAAAGTGCTAAGGCTATAAAGTATAGGAGCCCAAAATCATAATGGCTATTGTGGAGACTATGTAGATAAAGTAGGAATATGATGATGAAAACACAACAGCTTTGGACTGTGTTTTGGCAAGGAGCATGTTTATACAAAATTGAAAAAAAGTTAACATAACATGTATCATTGCTGTATTTTTCAGGTCAGCTACTACCATATACTGTAAAAGTATATGTCTATAAAAAAATAATATTTATCACAATAAAACAGAAATCAGTATAAATGCTAACAAAATATACTTAAGCAGAAATTACATAGTAACATATCAAAATCAAACAAAATAGTAATGAAATTAGTATGAAATTTGCTGGCCAACTTCATTTGGATGCTCCAATTTACCTCCAGTAGTGGTTAGGAGAGTCACAAACAGCTACAGTACAAGATGGGACAATGATAAATACTTAGTGGCCCCCCACTGAGGCTTATCAGGTCCAATGAATTGGATGCCTCTGACTAGTGAGGATGCAGGCTTGGGAAAGGTTCTTCCAGACCCAAAGCATGCTGTAGAAATAGGAAGAGATAGCCCAGCCGCTGCACACCTTGCCTGGTCCAAGTGGTTAGCAGATAAAACCAGCCTCAGCTTGATTCATCCAAGCCATCATCATGGAGGATGGGGGTGGGGTAAAAATTGTTGGGGGCATGGCTTGGATGAATCAAGCTGAAGCTGCTTTTACCTGCTAACCACTCGGGCCAGGTGAGGTGTGCAATGACCCGACTATCTATTTCTTCATCTTTCATAACCAAATTTAATTGAAGGCTATATTTCCAGGTCAAATGTTGTCATTTGCATATTTAGTTCAACTTTGTATAGTTTTAAGAGCTTATGATAACTTTATTTTGCATAAAAAAATCTATTCTCTATCATAGGCTGTCAAATGCAAAACATGATTAATTAATTAATGTATTATTATTTTTAATACTGTAATTTTATTTTACAATTACATTATTAAACTGAGCTATGCTGCAATCTTCCCACTTCAGCAACATTTGCATACCACAGCAGAATCTGAAGGAGGATGAAGACTTTTTTTGTGACAGCTGCTGCTTGTCAAAGTGGGGACATATATTAAAGCATCCTCAGTTCAGGGCTTTGTGCAGGGGAACATATTTCAACAGACTGCAGATAGTAAGAAGTCAAAATCAATGTTTTTGTAAGAAAATTCACCCATGAAACTTCCTTCATTGAAATCTGCAGCCCTGCTGCTTGAGTGGACTATGCCACTTCACACAGACCAAAAAGGCTGAAGTAACATTAGAGGGTACATGGGTAACTATTGGAAAGGTTAGAATAATTAGCCAAAATGGAGGTGGGCTTTTTCTTCCACTGCTGATAATTTTCGACTTTGTGTTGAGTGACTCAACCTTTGTAAAGATGATTATTTCTATATACACTGTATAGGTGATATTTAGTCCAATGGAATATGTAAGTGATACCAGCGCCAATGCAGATGGAGTCAGTATTGGCATTACCAGCACTAGTACAGTTGTCAGTATAGAGAAGGTACTGTGAGACATGACAGGGAGCTACACTGAAATAGGTGAATTGACACAAAGGGGTTTATTTACTAAACCTGGTTGACTCAGAATCTTGTCCACTTCTGCATAAAAACCAATCAGCTTCCAGGTTTTATTGCTGAAGCTTAACTGAACATGCTAAGGTTAGAAGCTGATTGGCTACCATGCACAGGTGCCCAAGATTCTGAGTCAACCAGGTTTAGTAAATAAACCCCAAACTGTCTTGTCTTTTTCTACTGCTGTGGTATCATACTAACAAAATCAAACACAATCGAGGTGCAGAGAGCCTTGGGAAACTAGAAACAAAAAGGGACTGGGTGCCCATTCTGTTTCAGTATACCTACGAAAGACAACCTAAAAAGTTGAAGAAAATACATAAACTATGCAGAAACAGCAACAGTGATGATCCAGGTGGACTGCACTAGGAGGCAGGACAGCAATCCAGTACTCTTCAAAATAAACAGGTATATATTACAGACAGTTCACAACATGATACTATCAGGCATGCCACACAAGGCCATGTCCAATGTTGGTTATGCAGAAGTCATCTGACCATGTGAATTCCTTACAAAGACAGACCTTCGCAAAATGGTACTATGGGGTTGATTTACTAAAACCGGAGAGTGCAAAATCTGGTGCAGCTCTGCATAGAAACCAATCATCTTCCAGGTTTTTTTTTTTGTCAAAGCTTGATTGAATAAGCTGAAGTTAGAAGCTGATTGTCTACCATACACAGTTGTACCAGATTTTGCACTCTCCAGTTTTAGTAAATCAACCCCTATGTTTGCCTTTCTCAAAATGTTGTTTAAAGGCAACAAATTTGGTTAATTTAAAGTTTATCTAATCCCAAAACTTTAAACCAGATATATTGTTCCTGTAATGTCAAAGCAATTATTCCTGTTTTTGTCTATATCTTAAATTCAGTTAAATATGCAAGCGAAGTGTATCCATAGACACAAACCAAAGGCAAATAGGTTGTTCACTTTGCAAAAGAAGAAGGACTTTGCAAGTAAATTTTCCCCAGAGCTTAGTAAATTAGGTGAAATTTCACTTTGCGGAAAATGGCCAATTACGTGCAAGAAAAATAAAAAAACTGCATTTTTGCTTGCACATTGGATAATGGAAGTCAGCAGAGCTTCACTTAATTCACTAAGCTCTGATGACATTTTCTTACAAAATTCAACTTTCCTTGCAAAGTGAACAGTCGATTTGCCTTTAGTAAATCTACCCCTACATTCTGTTCTAGGTTGAAAAGGCTTACTCAGTTGAGTGCCTTTTTCTGTGCACTCCTATATTGGACTACAAACTGCATGCTGGCATATTCTGTTGCAGTCACCATAGTAAAATTATATACCGTATTTTTCACTCCATAAGATGCACCTAGGTTTTAGAGGAGGAAAACAAGGAAAAAAATATTCTGAAGCAATGGACTGCAGACATAGTACAGGAGATGACCAGAGACTGCGGACATAGTACAGGAGATGACCAGAGACTGCGGACATAGTACAGTAGTTGAACAGAGACTGCGGACACAGTACAGGAGATGACCAGAGACTGCGGACACAGTACAGGAGATGACCAGAGACTGCGGACATAGTACAGGAGATGACCAGAGACTGCAGACGTAGTACAGGAGATGACCAGAGACTGCGGACATAGTACAGGAGATGACCAGAAACTGCGGACATAGTACAGGAGATGACCAGAGACTACGGAAATAGTACAGGAGATGACCAGAGACTGTGGACATAGTACAGGAGATGACCAGAGACTGCGGACATAGTACAGGAGATGACCAGAGACTGCGGACATAGTACAGGGGATGACCAGACACTGCGGACATAGTACAGGAGATGACCAGAGACTGCAGACCTTTGGGGAGCGGAAGGGGGAGTGGGTACCCAAATTTGACAGGTACCCACTCCCACTTCCGTGGAGTTGTCCTCCCTCCCCATTTTCTGGAACATGTGACAGGTCCCAGAAGACTGCCGGACCATTCACAAAGCATAGCGCTTCTCGTGTATGCGCAGTGGGCACCCGGCTGTGAAGTCGCAAGCTGTCACAGCCAGGAGCCCACACTAAAGATAGCAGCGCCAGGGAGAGAAGACGGTGAGGACACTGCTAGACCGAGGAGGGGAGAGATCTGGAGACAAAAAGTGGAGAGAGGCAAGGAGAAGTCGCTGACCGTCAGACTTGCCATCCTGTTCAGCGAGACATTTTGCTAGCAGACACCAAAATGGAACCCACATTGTGATCATCCTCAGGGGCCTCTGCAACTGGACTTTGCTGCAACATTCAACTGGAAGTAGGGGAGGGGCTCTGACGTCACGACGCCGCGGTGGACGAGCGGCATTTACAAGCACAGGATCTGGGCACAGCTCTGTTGGATACAGCTCTGTGGGAGACAGTACAATGTGAGTGGCAACTTATTCTCATTAAAAGATTTAACCTCACAAAGGATAAGGCACTATTGTGGCTCTTTTTTACATGGTTCCCCAATTTATTGGGAGGAGGAAATACTACTTAAACCATCCCTACTACCCATTGAGGCTCAGTGTGGAAGGAGGAAAAAGGGAGACCTCTGGTGGCAGGAAAAAGGCAATATAGATCCACGGCATGGATGGATATACACACATAGTATTAAGATTACCACCCAGTCCTGATAGGACAAAAAGAGTTGTTAGCCACTTTGTTTGGCTAAATAAGGAGGTGAGCGCACACCTATCTATAGAGCACGGGGAGTGTGGCACAGCACTGGATTTGTCACTGAATAAATATAAAGTATAAAGAGGACTATTGTTTAGTATTGAATCAGTATTATTTTGATGAACACTATATGTTGCACTGATTTGAAGCACAAAAGTTTTTTTTACATCACTATTTATATGATCACTTGTATATATGGAGCGCGGCACCTGTATATGTATCTGAAGATATACATACATATTTTGTTATATAATATATGTTTCACACAGATTATGAGTATTGTGTAAAGTGTTGATGCACCATAATTTGATTTAATAGTTTGTTAAATAATTTATTGCACAAGGGGAGTATCACATTTTGGCTCACGAGTATTACCTCTTTCATTTGTCTGTTTATTTCATACACATTTACACATTTGTCTGATTTATGTTTTGTGTGAGCAATTCGTGTTTTGCCTTCTTTAGCCTATCAAATTATAATATTTCCATGTGGAAATGGAAAATATGCTTCTCTAAATCAGTGGATAAGGCAGATATGTACCATACATTCTCAAGTCATTTTCCACAGAATGGATACTTTATAACATCCATCCATTTGCAGAATTCAGTATTGAGTGGGAGAGCATTCCCTGTGTTATAAATGAAGAGAATGTTGCAGTATGTATATTCTTGGAATTTACTCTTCACTTTATAATTTGGATCCTAACAACAACTGCGCTAAATGACTTTTTGAAAAAAAATGTTTAGATTCTGAGTTAGCCACCTACCTTGTCTACTGGATAAGAATCTAGAACTTCAGTGAACTACAATTAAAAAAAGAAGTTTGTGAACTTTGTAGTTACCTTCAGTTACTTTTTTGTTTGAATTTTGTGTGTACAATATAGTTTTATCTCCCATTAACTCACAAAACAGTAAACATACATTTATTATTATTATTAACCACTTCAAGTCTGGACACTTATACCTCCTTCCAGTCCAGGCCAATTTTCATCTTTCAGCGCTATCACACTTTGAATGACAATTGTGCGGTCATGCAACACTGTGCCTATATGACATTTTTTACTTTTTTTTGAGACAGATAAAACTTTTTTTTTGTTGTATTTATTCACCACTGGGATTTTTATTTTTTTGCTATATAAATGAAAAAGACCAAAAATTTTGAAAACAAAACAGGTTTTCTTATAAAAGTTTGCAAAGAAATAATCTTTCTTCATAAGTCTTAGCCAAATGTATTCAGCTATCTTTTTGGTAAAAAAAAATAATCAAATTAGTTTATAAAAAAAAATTATAATTTTTCAAAAATATTGTTTATATGTTTATTTTATTTTTTTAATATTATTATTTGTTTTTTTTTCCAAAAAGTTTATTAGGAAAGCGCAGAGCATACAAAAAGTACAATGAGTACAAAGAGCTACAATGTGATAATGAAAATCACAATGTAAAACAAATAACAAATACAATACAATGAGCGATGCTAAGGTAAACAGACAGAGAAAACGATCTCATGTTGCACATACTATAAATGATATTCGATTAGAGGAGACAACATACAGTCACAGCAAGGATGAAGGCACTTAATACCCATAACCATAATAAGGCATAAGAAATCCACAAGACGGGCAGGATCAGTAGTTTATTCCCCCATTTGTTATACATCATATGAAAGCAGGGTAAGGGGGCAGAGGATGTGAGTAGAGGTTCAGTACATTCTATAGAGGAAAGCTGGTGCAGAGGTGTAGAGAGCTCTATACTATCCATGAGGTATAACGGGGGCTACGATTAGTGGTTACCAGTGTGTGAGGAGAGGACTTTGTGAATCAGATGAAGCGTATTTGTAGATTGCGTATGGGTATGGGAGTATGTCTCCTATGGGCAGGGAAAAGAATGGAAGGATAGGAGGAGGAGAGTAAGGTAAGACATGTAAAATAGAAAGGAGGAAAGGCAAGGTAAAGGGAATGATGATAAGAAAAGAGTCAGAGGGGGGGAAGGGAAGGATGAGGGATGGAGAGCCAGAGAGAAAGAGATGATAGAAAAAAAAAAGGGGGGGGGGGGAAGGGTCAGAGGGGAATGAAAGAAACTAGGGAGGGGGCAGTGTAGGCAGGCATACTACAGGTGTGGAAGCTCCAGGGACATAACAATTATAATCAGCTCCGAAGGGGATTTAAGAATGAGTCAGGCAATCGGTGCATTGAACATGAGGGTTTCTCACTCCGACCAACGTAAAGGGTAGGAAAGAATATCTCGACAGCCTTAAAAAGGTCGAGGGGTGATGTGATGAAGGAAGCAATGTGGGTATGCAGGTTCGGCACAAAGTCAAGTGGAAAGACCCATAAGGGAACGGTATGTGGAGGTCGTTTGGAAGTGAGTCCAGCAAGACCAGATATGGGAAAATTTTGTTGGGTTATTTTGTGATGAAGCAATCAGCTCCTTCATCTCCGCAACTCTTCCCAAATGTGTGAGCCAATCTCGTATTAAAGGGGGGTGGGTAGATCCTCAAAGAACAGGTAGACAGAGTCTAGCCGCGCTGAGCATATACATAGCGAGTGGTTTGAAATAAAGGCGTCTGGGAAGAGGGATATAGTGGAGGAGAAATTGGGCTGGAAAAAAATCGAGAGGTATAGTGGATACTAATGAGGTTATACGGTGAACCTCCTGCCAGCAGGGCTGGATAGTTGGGCAAGACCACCAAATGTGGAGAAGGGACCTTTCGGGTGCTCCACATCTCCAAAATTTGTTGGGCAGAGAGGGATTATAGCGATGGATTCTAGAGGGGGTATTATACCAGCGGGAGGCCAGTTTGTATCCATTTTCTTGCGTTGATACATTCAGCGAGCATTTGTGGGAGTATGTAAAAATGTGGTCCCAGTCCGAAGAAGAGAAGTCTATTTCCAGGTCTCTCTTCCAAGCTCGGCAAGCGAGTGAGTTCCCATCGCCAACTAGAAGGAGGTAGGCTAATGATATTAGGTGCCTCTGGGGTTCGGCTTTAGAGCAAATAGATTCAAAGGGGGTAAGAGGGCGAATCCATTTGTGACGCTGTGCATGAGATTGAAGAAAATGCCTAATTTGAAGGTAAGCCCAAAAGGGGAAGGTGTAGTCCCGCATGATACCCGCCAAAGAGGAGTAGGATTTCAGTTGGCCTTTTTGGAAAAAGTGTTTAGCTTTCATCCGGCTATGTGGCCAATGTTTGGACAGAAAGGCCTTGTGTATGCCTAGGGGGAAATCCAGGTTTAATCGGAGAGAGGTTAAAGGGTTATGTTTTTTTTGTACATACTGTCACCATAACAGTACAGTGTCACTATAATGACACTGTACTACTTGTGGGGGGTGATGAAGATTTTTTTTTTTGTACATTGATTGCTTTTACACCCATAAAGACTGTAGAAACAATAATTTCTCCTTCTCTCTGGCTGCATTCCTTCAGCCTTTGAGAAATACTGTGAGAGCTTGTCACATGGTACAAGGCTGTTGTGAATACCATTCACAGATTTCACAAGTAGTAAACAATGATGTCAGGAAGTGACATCTTGTTTACTACTGTTCATGTGATCACTGATTGGCCAATCAGTGATCACATGAATCGGGTCCTCACACAGTGGTCCCATACAGCGATCTGTGTTCCGCAGCGAACACAGATTGCGGTGCTGCGCGCACAGGCAACAGATGTGGGCTGACATTTAGAAATGTCCCCCTGCATAGGCAGCATTCCCGTCTGCCCGTTTTATCGGCATGCACCGGATGGGAAGAGGTTAAGTGCCATCAACACTCATCCGAGTCCTCCTCAGCTGTAGTCAATGTGTCCACCCACCTAGCAGTTGGTCTCTCTCTTCGCCTGGTTGCTTGGATCCTCCCAAACATTATTTCCTTCTCCAGTGATCTTTCTCTTCTGGCAGTGTGACCAAAATATGACAGTCGCAACTTCATCAATTGGGCTTCTAGTGACATAACCAGTTTTATCACTTCCAAAATCAATCTTTTAGTTTAATGGGCTGTCCACAGCACACATGAAATCCTTCTCCAGCACCAAAGCTCAAATGAATCGATCTTCTTTCTATCTTGTTTACATTGTGTCCAGCTTTCACAACCGTAATTGACAACTGAGAAAATGAGAGCAAAGATAAGTCTGAGTGACACACTAGAATCTTCCCATTTTTAATATTTTTATACGGAATACATTCATTGATCATTCACATTCCTAAAAGGAAAAACCATATCAAACCTTGTATATGGCAACTACCGTAACCACTTTAGGCAACATTACCCCCCATCAAACGTTTCCTGTAGTTGCTGTTAAGACTTGATCAACAATTAGTGCAAATGTTAGGAGAAATTCTAGACCAATCCCTATCACAAAAATGTTTTAGAGCATTGATTATGTGGGATTCTGTGCACTAACAGCTTTTTTCATTTGGTGGAAATCAAGACTTGATATTGTAGAAAATTTCAAACATTCTTCTGCTTAAAGTGGTTGTAAAGGTTTTTTGACC